GCTTGTCTTTTAATGCAGGGTGCTTGGTCTTCATTTGGCAAAGCAGTTTTGAAGGTTTCATAGCTTCGCTGCATAGCCAGTCGCCACATATTATACAAAGCGGGCTTAGAGAATGTGAATCATCTGTTGCAATGAACCCATAATTTAAGCAGGACTCCTGGTATTTTCTTTTAAATGCAGCTTTCTTTTTGTTGGCGTCTTAGAGTCTTCTGCTGTCCCATCATTGGGTCTTTCCCCCTTTTCAAAGAAGCACTCCAGCGACATTTGTTTTTTACTCATTTTGGCTAGGGTTAGCTTGTGGGCTTACCAAAACATGACTGAGACAAGTGTACAGTGTGGGAAAGAGGCGCGGATGGAAGTGGTAAATAAAATAATGGGCGGGCCATGCGCGGACTAAAATGTGTCCTATTCTGACTTAAAGTCTGCCAGCAGATGCAGCTGTACAATTGAAGTACATCAACTCACTTGCCACTATAAAGCCTGCCACCAGATGCAGCTTGTCACTTGCCACTCACTGATAGGGTTTTGATATGAGTCTGCAAGCAATTGACTTATTATGGTCTCTGTGCAGTCAAACCTCTCTGTTAATGATAATCTGTATTTGCGGCCATCCCCCAGCGCTAGCATCACTCCCTCAGCTCCACCTCAGATCATCAGGCATTAGATTCTCATAAGGAGCACGCAACTTATATCCCTCACATGCGCAGTTCACAGTAGGGTTCGCGGTCCTATAAAAATCTAATGCTACCGCTGATCTGACAGAAGGCGGAGCTCAGGTGGTAATGCAAGCGATGGGGAGCGGCTGTAAATACAGATGAAGCTTTGCTTGCTTGCCTGACACTCACCTCCTGCCATTTGGCCCAGTTCCTAACAGGCACGGACCAGTACCGGTCCGTGGCCCGGGGTTTGGGGACCCCTGGTGTAGAGGATGACTGGTTGAGGATAATTCCAAAGCTTTTCAAGCCAGATAAATGGACTAATTCGGATATTTCTGGACTCACTGTTCGGTATTGATGTCATGCATTTAAGTGACATTGGCCAGTCCCAGAGGAGTGACTAGGATGGTGATAGATACATCACATAACTGAATGGGCTGAGAATATTTAACCTGGAAAAGAGAAATTTGTACATGATGACTGTACACAAGGTTTGACACACATGTGAAAGAGGGCTCTTTTGAGCTACACAAAAGAACTTTCTTTTGTGTAGCTATGGAGGGGAGAACTCAAACCATGAAGAGAAAATACAGGAAGGTGTATTTTTGTTTCTTATGGGAGTCATTATAGAGGGGAATGATAATTGGAACAGTAATAATGAGTGTAGTGAGAGAAAGTTAGAAGGTCAAGAATAAAGTTATGGGCATATTTGACAACTTGAAAATATTGGATCTCAATGGTTGTCTTTCTCCACAAATCTACATCAATAACTAACTCCCAACATGGTTCCATAAATATTCAAGATACTTATGGAGGGCCTACTATATGCCAGGTAGTGTTCCAGGCATCGGTGAATACAGCTATGAACTGCCATATGAATTTCCCTAAAATAAGCTCTGGCTGTGTCGTACTCCTGCTCAAAAACTGTCAAAGGTTTTTATTAACCACTAAATGAAGTTTACTCTCCTGATACGATATTAAGTCCCTTTTTCACCTGTTCCAACCTGCCTTTCCAGTCTGTTCTCTCCAACTCTCCACTAAACTGGATCAAGTTATTTAACCTCTAGTTCCTTAATTGTAAAATGGAGGTACAATATACCTCAGTTTGTTGTCATGAGGATCAAATGAATAGATATAAACTGCTCAGAACAGTGCCTGTACAAGATAAGCACTGCATAAGTGTTTGCTTTTTTTTATTGTCAAATGACATGAAGAAGTCAGGGAAAATAATTTACTTCTGGAAAACCCAGTAGATTTAACAAGGCTAGAAATAATTCTGGCATTTGAGTAAAGGCTGTCCCTTTTATCAACCTTTATTGGTAGACTCTATTTCTGGGAGCAGCAAGTATTCAATCAGATTTTTTTAAAAAACAGCTTTACTGAGGTATAACTGACATACAAAATTTCAGATATTGAAATGTAAAGTTTGAAAACTTCTGACAAATGTATACACAAATCAAATCTTCCTAACAATCAAGATAGAAAATACATCCCACAAGTTTCTGTGTGCTACTTTGTAATCTCTCCTACCACTCCCCTAGGCAACTACTGATCTGCTTTCTATCACTATACACTAGTCAACTAATATGTTTAATGAGCAACTGATGGTGGTATTTATTAAATATTTGACTGATAGTAGGAAAAAACCCATAAAAGGTAGTTTCTACTGGTAGAAAAAAACAAACTAATAAAGGTAGCTTTTAAACATGAAGATAACAGAGTTTTTGTATGAAGAAATTAAGTTACTAATAAAAGAGATGAGTTGTGATGCTACCTAGTAATTGGTGATGTTACTAACATCTTTATATGGCTTTCATATTTTTATATTTCATTCATTCGTCAACAGGGGTTGGTTGGTTGTTTATTTGTGTCAGGGACTGGAAGGCGGTACACCTGTGGTGGGGAGAACATTGATATTGTGCTGTCCAATATATTAGTCACCAGCCATGTATGGCTATCTTAACTTAAAATTTTAGTTCCTCAGTTGCACTAGCCACATTTTAAGCTCTCAAGCACCCCTCACATGGCTAGTGGCTACCATATTGAACAGTGTGGTTACAGAAATTAGCATCATTGCTCAAAGTTCTATTCTACAGAGCTAATTTAGAAGATTCTTGAGGTATATTATCTACAGGGGAGGTGAGGAAGGTCTAAGCTGAAGCAATGGCAATGAAATGGAGAGGAGGGATCTCTCTGAGATACTTAATGTGATGCAGAGTGAAGACAGTGGGATTCATTTAGGATGTCTTCTAGGTTTCTCATTGGAGTAAATAGGTTGATGATTAGAACCATTCACCAACAAAGTAAATATAGCAGCAGGATTTGGGAAAAGGGGGTGAAATCAGATTTGTACACAATGAGTGAGAGGCAGCCATGGACTGGCCAGTGGTCTGAGAAGCTTCTGGATCTCAGAATGTGATCTGTGGGGATTCTGGGTAGAGACAGAGGTCCAAGGAAGGAGCAGTAGCCATGGGTAGGAGTCAGAGCCATGCACTTGGTAGAGGGCTTTCAGAGAAATTAGGCTGCATGAGGTAAGAGGCTAGCATCAGGGCCTGGGAAGCACTGACATTTAGGGCAGGGTTTTCAAACTGTGAGTGGCTCATGAAATCAACAGAATAGGTCTCCACCAGCATTAAAAATAATAGTATAGCAGATATTAATACGGTTTGCATATTGAGTAAAGATCTTTTCCTGAAACTTCTGTTATGAATATATTTACATACATATATGTATACTAGGTTGCAAGGTAAAACATATTTCTGAGTTGTGATTAGTTTGAATATCGCCAATTTATAAAATGAGCACCACAGACTATAAGTTACATGCTGCTAGTTCCTGGCATGTAGCAGACACTCAGTAAACACACTGTATGAAGGAATTAACCAACAGGTCAGAGAAGTAAGAGGAAACCCAGGACAAGGGTGACTCAGAAGCTAACCTCTTGCTACCTGAAACATTATCCAAACTCAGCAGAAAAACCGCTGGGGATATTACAGTCTATACATGATGAGATCACTTTTGCTTTTGGTGAGTGAGAGTTAACCCTGGGGGAGGCCAGTGGAGACATCAGGGAGGCTACTGAACCTCAGGATGTGATCTAGGAGCAGTCTGGGCATTACATGTATTTAAGATGTTTTCCCACCAAATGCAACAGATATGTGACAACTTGAGGCTCATGCCTGCTAAGGAATGAATGCACAGGCAAAAGACGCTGTGGGACAAAATATAAGGATAATAGATATTGTAGTAGTGCTGAACAGGAAAGGTTTAGAAAATTCAGGTTAGGGTACACAGAAGATGGTAGGTTAAATAGAACCATTACAGTGAAACTCCAGTTTTGCAAAATTAATGAGACTGGTAGATAACAAATAAGTAGTTTCTGATTTCTGTATGTAATTTTCATGGTTTTTGTACGGCACCTTAATAACAAAAAGGAATGTGATATGTCTGAGGCATCATTATCCATCAGATCTGTCTACTTAGAACTGTTAGGGTCTCGCTGATTCACTGGAGAAAAATCACTTCTGGAATTTAAAAAATAAAATTTCCAATTTTGTTGAAAAACATCTTTTAAATCATAATATATTAAACATCTTTTAAATCATAATATATTAAAAAATATATTTGGCTCTACTTCTTTAAAAAATTTGTTTTTTTTCCCTGATGTGGTTATTCATGGGGCAAGGGGATGTAGGGAGGAGTTCCAAAGGGAAAAAGGAAAAATTCAGTCCATTTGACTTGTTCACCTCAGAGGAAGTTAGGTCTTTTGCAAAAATAAAACATCCATCCTGAAGCCTTCCCCTTAGGCCTCTCCTGGCGACACTCAGAAGTGATGACTTTAGGTCAGGTCCTTTCATTGATACACAAAGCCATGTAAACAAACTCCTCCTCCTCGCGGGCTTTTGAGCAGCGTGCACGAGAGCACTGAGTTCAGACTAACGAAACTTCTAAACAGTGTTCATGGGGTAATCAGTGACCCCACTGCAATGACGTTCAGTGGGACAGGGCCTGGCTCGGGAAGGGGCTGGCGAAGTGCAGCGCTGGGGCCATGGGGGGGACGCCGGCAGGAGAGATTTACCTATCAGAGCTGCCGTTTAGACCCCGTTACGAACTAAGGGCACCGCTGACTTCACTTGAGTGAGGACAGTCATTCCTGGAAAACTACCCCTCGTCCCAGCAGCAGAGTCCGCTCGCGCCTGCCTTGAACGACGATGACTGATACGGCCGGAAACTCACAGGCCCACAAGCCCACTTCCGACTTCCGGGGCAAGGCCGGAAGTGACTTTGGGTGTAACCAGAACCCAGCGCCGTAAAGTAAGATGGCAGCAATCTCTTTGAGACGATTGTCCAATCTCCGTTTTATTTCTAGCACTTCCTTATTCACCAGGGATTCTCGACTTCCATTACCCACCCTAGTTTTTCTCAGCACAACCCTCTCATATTTCAATGTCATTTATCAGTGGTGGAGGATGGGCCGGAGGCAACGTAAGGTGAGCGTCAGCGCCGTGAGGCACCATTTCGTACGGAAACTGAAGGCTGGGCGGGGATGAGTGCTGGGGATATCCAGATGTGGCCTGGTTAGCGGGCGAGCGTGAGGGGGAGGGGCGAGAGGGCAAGAGGGCGTTGCTACAGGATGATGTATTTCCGTTTCCTCGCGGCCTTGTTGTACTTGGTTGGACAGGCTTGTTGCGGGAGGGCGGGGGAAGATTGTTCGCAGTGGAGAAGGTCCGCGCAAGGGAAGGTAAACTGAGGTAATGCCGAGAAAAGGGGCGCCTTTGCGCCCGGCTGCGTAGGAGGTCTGGGGCTAGGGTCCTTGGGATTTAGGAAGAGCGGGGTTGGAGATGGGAGGCTCGGATTGTCCACAGGGTTAGAGAGAGAAGAGGAGGTGGGGTGGGGCTGGGGGTTACAAGGTGATTTGCAGTGCTGGGTGGGGGTGGAATGGGGCGGCCAGAACAGAAGCGGGGAGGGTTGGAGGAGACGGTGGAGAGGATGAGAGTGCGGAGGGAAGTCTGGAAGGCGCTGGTGGGGGAGGGGCTGGGGCCGAGAGCCTGGAACGCGGGAAAGAAGTTGAGGGGGTTGGTCGGAATGTGGGGGTGTGGGAGGAAGGGGGCCGGGTTCTTCGGAGGCTGAGGGGTTGGAAGGGGCTGGTGGCCGACGTTCGAATGCTGACCATGTACTTGGCCTTTGTTTCCCCAGCAACTCCCCAGAGACTCTCATCCAGCAGCCTCTGCTCAGGCCCAGCCTTCTCTCCAGTTGCCACCACAGCCTGGAGGCGCCTGCCTCCACCCTCCCGAATGGTGCTCCTCCTCGCAGGCCTCGGCCCAGGATCCAGGCCCCCTTTGCCTCCTGTCTCGGAGCTGTTGCTCCGGGTCTCTTCTGGTGGACTCCCCGTGACGGGGAGGGAAGGACTTTTGCACATACAAGGCTATAGCTCTTGGGACCCCACCGGCAACTTGAATCTCGGCCTCTAACCGAGTGTGAGGTTCTTCCTGTGCCCTCTTTTTCCACCCTTTGAGAAGAGAAACCCTTCTTGCCACCCAGAGCCCAGGAAGCCCCAAGCTGGGGCCCTGGTCCCAGCATGTCAGTCCTCTTTTTTGTATAGGGCTGTGCCCTCTCCCCATCAGCATGGCTGAACTCAGGCAGGTTCCAGGGGGACGGGAGACCCCACAGGGGGAGCTTCGGCCTGAGGTTGTAGAGGATGAAGTCCCACGGAGCCCAGTTGCAGAGGAGCCTGGAGGAGGTGGAAGCAACAGCAGTGAAGCCAAATTGTCCCCAAGAGAAGAAGAAGAACTGGATCCTAGAATACAGGTCAGAAGACTGAGCTGGGGGAGAGATAGGGAGATTAGATTCCAGCTTTTCTGAAGAGCTGTCAGATAAATGAGGGGTTAGACTTACTCTTTTCCCAGTGCACGGGCAGGAAAGGAAAACAAGTTTGTCAACAAATCATTGCAGTATAGTGTGACAAGCGAGAAAAGAGTTGTGTGCGGTGTGAGTACAGAGAAAGGCCCGGCCTGGGTGCCTGGGGTGTGTTGCTGAAGGCTTCACTGATGAAGTGAAGTGACAAATTGGCAATAGATGCGGGAAGCACACTTTAGGTCAGTAGAGAGTAGAACTGTTGTTTCTTTTCCAAATAAGCAAAGGGGCTGTTGGCTCAGAGATGTAGCATGAGTGGGATGTGAGAGAAGATGGCTTTGAGATCGGGAGGCAGTTTTGAATCTTTTCCTCTCTCCTGCTCTCTCATCAGTGCCTCCCAGGGACATTCATATTTGTGAGAGGTGAGACCTTTCATGTCTTATAAAGGTGGCATCAGGCTTAGGCCTGTAAGGAAATCTGATGTGTTCAGAACGTTGTATGAATTGTGGTCAGTCCTTAATAATACAGATTTCTGGCTCTGAGGATGCTGGGTCAGTCAAATGAATGGAAGAGCTGATTTGTTGCCTTGGAGCATTTACAGGCTACTTGGTAGAAGGGCAGAACTTTGTGAAGGAGACCTCAGAGCAGTGGGGGAGGAGGACAGGCGCCATGTGTAGTAGATGCATGGCCAAATGAGGCTGGATCTCAGTGTTTCTGGGCAGTGGCAGGGAAGGGCTTCCTGGAGAAGCTGTTTGGACAGGTGAGGGCCAGGGTGCTCCTGTGTGTTTGGGGCCTGAGTCTGCCATTTGGTATGGTAACATCTCCAGGATTCTGATGTGGAGGTGACTCACACCTCTGTAGGTGAGCAAGAGCATCCCGGGGCTCTCATTCCTGGGCTTCTCTGTCAACAAACCTTTATTAGATTACTTCAGTGAGTCACGGAGATTTCAAAGCTCATCCTAGCATCTTCCTGCTCTCTCTTGGTGGGGTTTCCCAGGATGTGTGTGGAGAAACCGTGTCTGTGCTTATAGTGGAGCAGTAATGAGCCATTTGTTTACTGACATGAGTTAGTAATTTATTTCTGCTGTGTTTCATGGGCACTGTATTGAGAACAGCTCAATTTCTCCTGCTAGTTCTTTATAGATTTGTTGTCCACTGAGGAAACAAGTTGTGAAAAAAGCATTGGGCTGAGATTCAAGCAGCCTCTGGCCGGATGATTTGTGATTTTCATGTAAGTTATGTAACCTTTCCAAGCCTCAGTTTCTTCATCTGTAAAGTGAAGGGTTGGTCTAGCCGATTTGCTCAACTCATTTCTGCTCTGCTCTGACATAGTGCTATGATTCTTTTCTTTCACAAACTCTTTTGCCTGTCTTTGATGAAAGTTCATAGGTTGTGCTTTGAGAAAGAGACCTCTGTCTGTTTGTCAGGGAGGAGGGCCTGGTTGTCGTCCTTCATACACCCCTCTGCAACATTCCTTGCCCCCTTCCAGAGGAGAATCCACTGCAGTTTCTTTGCTCAGTCGCTCCTGTGTATTTTTCCATTGCTTACACAGGCAAAGGTGGTAGTATGAAAAGGCAGCTTTCATGTTGTGCTGTCCAGTAAAGTAGCCACTAGTTGCTTGTGGATACTTAAATCAACTAGGAATAAATAAAAATTAAAAATGCAGTTCCCCAGGTGCTGTTGGCAGTTGCAGATGTAGAACATTTCCATCATCACAGACGGTTCTGTTGTATGAGCTCTGTGAGGGTTGGAGACTACTGAGCAGCAGTAAGATTCACCTTGCCTTCAGTGAGCTTGCAGTGTTACTGGAGCAAGACGGGCAGGCGGACCTTAGTCTCTCTTGCTAAACTGGAGGGCACATTGTGGAATGTTGTGGGCTACGTAGGGAGGCAAGGTCATGTTGTAGAGGCCTCCCTCGCTGATGAAGCTGGGCCAGTGCTCTGACCTCAGCAGGCATTCAGCATCTTCTTGCCACGTGGGAGAGGCAGCTTGGTGTGAGGGGTACCTTTCATGGAGGAGGCCGGTGGCATTCAGACCTTCTGGGTTTGGGCTCTTCTGGATGAGAAAGACATTGGGGTATGTGTCTTTTGAGTTTCTTTTTAGTGTTGACAGTGTACAAGATCATGTTATCCTGATACTATATTTCAGCACTTTGAATGGATCAGTGCATTCAGTCCATCAGAGCCTACCAGGGAACTTTAAAAGCACCCATTCCTGAGCTGTGCCCAGATATGTGAATTCTCCTTCTGGGTGGGGCGAGAAGTGCTTCTAATTGTGGCCTGTGAGAGTCCACTGATCCAAGGATATCCCAAAGGTGGAGACCCTATTCAGGTATTTTCTCAACTACCAGAAATGGTCCCTTAGGGCAAGGCTCTTTCTGATGTGGGGGGTGGGGAGTCTTGGCAGGCAGGCAGCTTGTGCCTCCTTGTCTGGTGGGATCCTTCTGGAAGTTGGAGGGAAGCCAGGTAGAGGCCAGCTCTAGGCCTGCGTGGAGTGTGCTGCCCCCCAGGGAAGTCCACTGGATGTGTCTCTGTGTCTTGACCTCAGCATACTTCTCTGAGGCCTCCAGGCTGGTCCTCAGCTTTCTGAGAGAGACAGAGTCCCAGTGGCAGGAAGGAATAAAGGAGGGTTGTACTAGGATGGGCCTGGGTCTCCTCTCCTATGACTTTTCTTAGCCCCCTTTATGATGGCACATTCTTTCCTCAGGTAAGTAGATGTGTGCACTCACCTGCTTCTCCTCAGAGTGACTCTGCAATCTCTGCGTCGTCTGATGTGTCGGTTTAGCTTTCTCTGGGCAGTCATTTTTACCTTATTTCTGAGTCTTTGGGTCATGTATCACCCTGGCCCTGCTGATGACTGTGGGCTTGAGTGTTTTTCTTTTTAATTGAGATATAGTTGATTTATAATCTTATGTAAGTTCCAGGTGTACAACATAGTGATTCACAGTTTATGAGATTATACTCCATTTTGGACTTGAGTGTTTTAATGGCTTGCACAAGTTGGGCAGGAACATCTGTAGCCCAAGCGCCCGTGCCTTTGACTCAGTGGCCTGGCATCTTTGGAATGCGCCCGGTGTGCTCTGAGGAGGCTGCCCTCCCTGCTGGCTGCAGGCTCACTGATGGATGACGTACGCTGACTCAGACTTCATCCTCCTTGAATTCCATTTCAGCCGGGTGCCAGGAGTCCCCTGGTGGAGCAGGCCAAATGGAATGTGTTGCCAACGGCCCAAAACAGAGCCCTGGCTGCTTGTTGGCTTCCTGCTCTGCTTTGCCCTGGGTCTGCCTCAGCCGGGCTGCCCCCATCCCCCACCCCCTTGCCCACCTTGCCCTCCAGCCTGCTCTGCTCCCCAGTCTCTTTGTCCTGCTAGAAAGAGCTTTGTGACTCCGTGGGGCAGACCTCAGAGTCAACAGGAGGCCTTTTTTTAAATTGCTGGAGGTGCTTCGTGGATATGAGTTTCTGTATAGAAAGACATGCCTGCTTCTGTGGGCCAATAGCCAGAGCCTTTCACATGCCTGGATTTGTTATATGTTTCTTTCTTTGTGTTCTACCTTACACTGTAATTAGAGCACACAACTTGGTTTCTTAGATTCTTACTTGCTGACTCAAGTTTTTTAGGGCTGGAGATGGGGTATAGAAATGGACTAAAGGGGGATCACACACTGGGTTGTTGGAAGGGCCAAATGAGGTGTGAGAGCAGTGATGGCAGTGTCACTCACTACCAAGTGCAGGTTGTGTCTGGGCCATGGGCAGTAAGCAGACACCATGCTGGCTACTGCTGGCCTGTCCAGGGGCTGCAGGGCTCCTGGAGGAGGATCCTGTAGCCGAGCATCAGGCATCTCTCTGGGTATTGCTCCTCCTCAGGAGTGTCATTGGCTCACTGGACCCCAGGAACTTGACCAAGGGGAGGGGAGGATACTCAAGGCCAGCACCCTCCCTGCTCTCTGCCACTGAAAGGCCTGGGTGGCTTGCTTCTTTTGCCAGCCCTGGGACCAGTGAGGCGTTCAAGCCAGCGTGTCTGGTGACTTCTTCCTGAGCCTCTCTCTCTCTCCCTCCCTCCCACAGGATCTACCTGGGGTCCTGTCACCACTGCCCAAGCAGGCCTAGAGGCCTCTTGAACCATGCATTCTTCTCTAATCTTGACCTTAATTGTCCACGAAGCCCTAATGATTTTGCATCCTATATTTCCTTGGGGTCTGCCCTCTCCTCTCCCACCTGGAGAACTACAGACAGCCTCCACTTTTGTCTCCCTGGCCCCTCCAAGCTTTCCCTACATTGCCCATCTCTGCCTTCCTAGACCACCAGGTGGCATTAGTCTCTGAGGGGTTCCCCCTGCCATTGGGAGAAGCCCTAGTATCCTGTCCCTGTGCCACAGCTCCTCTGGCTTCTCTCCCAATAATCTGCCTTCCCTGGGCACCTGCTCTCCTTTTGATTCCCAGCCCCTACCATGCCCACCCCTCACGTGGCTCCTCACGCCACTGAGGGCCTGTTGCTTACTTATTGGGCCGGAGCTGCCACCTCTTTGTGTTCTGAATCCTCAGGTCTCATGGTGCTGAACTGTGATAAGTGTGTAGTAAAAGTATGCTGAGTGAATGGCCCAGCGGGTGTGTTCTCTCTGGGACAGAGACCGTTAGCCCTGAAGGAGACTCCTTCTGGCTGGAGTACGAGGAGGAGGTGGTGCAGTCTGATGGAGAGAGCACAGGCTTGTTGCCACTTTGCTGTGTGCATAGGAGTTTTCCATACTCTGAACCTCAATTTTCTCATCTTTAAAATGGGAGTTTAGAGGTGGAATTGTGAGGATTACAGGAGGCTATATATTACTCTGTCTCTGACAGGAGGCATTTGACAATGACCTCCTGCTGCATTTCTTCACTTCCCTAGTTGGCTGGGCTTTCCCTCTGTGTACTGTGCTCCTGCCCTGCCTGGTTCATGTGAGGCTGCTTACTTCCACTGCTCTAACTTTCTGCCCCTCTCTGGCAGGAGGAGCTGGAGCATCTGAACCAGGCCAGTGAGGAGATCAACCAGGTGGAGCTGCAGCTGGATGTGAGTGTTGCTCCTTTTCCACACACTCCTGGGCTGGTTCCAAAGGTGTTTTCATCATTTTCCCTCCTCTTTCAGTACAGTGGCAGGGGAAGAGGCATGTATGGAAAACAAGAGGGGCTGGGACCCACACGCATGCCTCCCTCTGCCCATGTCCCTATCCTTTTGCCAGGAAGCCAGGACCACCTACCGGAGGATCCTGCAGGAGTCAGCAAGGAAGCTCAACACGCAGGGCTCCCACTTGGGGAGCTGCATCGAGAAGGCCCGGCCCTACTATGAGGCTCGGCGGCTGGCTAAGGAGGTATGACCCACATTCTGAGGTAGGGGCCGCATGCAGAGCCTGGCCCTGTACTCTTCTGTCTCTGTATGGGGTGTGAGATAGATCACCATTCTTTTCCTCTTCTGTTCCCCTTGGTTCATGTCTCTCTTTTCGTTGTTTGCTCCTCCACCCCATTACCCATTTCCTTCTTTTTAAATTTTTCTTTGCACAAATAATGTGGGCTCACTATTGGAAGGCTGTAATTGTAACCTGTAACTATAAAACAAGGTAGGAGAAGAAAACCGATATTTCCCCAAATCCAACCATGTGCATGTTTCATGATTTTTGTACCTGGGATTTGTTTAGTCAAGTATGGTAAGGTGACAGACACAGAGACAGCTGCCTTCAAAGAAGAATTTATGACTTAACAGTTCCTAAGAGAAAAGGACCTGCCACATCATGCAGGGCTACATGGGGAAGTACCTGAGTGGGTGAGGAGGCAGAAAATGTGAGGGGAAAGCTTGGCTTAGAGCTTTTATTGTAGAGCCTTTATTGTGGTTTTTATGGGAAGGAATGGGTAGGGCAGGGTAGGCAACTTTGAGCCAATTTAAGATTGGCTAGTTTGAATAATTGAGGCAGGTTCTGGGCTATAGGGGTGGTCTCTAGTTTTCTGGTCCTGGCCCTTCAGTGATTTAGGGCAGGGGAAATACTGGCTTGCTGTGTGATAGATGGGCTTTGGATTGGTTGATTTGCATATGAAGAGTGTGCTCACATTCCTAGGAGTGTGTCTGTAGGAATTAGCCAGCCCTAGGAGAGCCAGCAAGGCCTCCAAGATATCAAAGCATCATAAAACATAGAAAATAAAAAATGTGATTAATATAGCACAAATAATTCCTTAAATTGTTTTTGTATATATCCTGCCAATATGGGATCACATATGTACAATTTTTATTCCTTTATTATATTAGGACATGTTTCCATGTCAAGAAATACCCATACTTGCCATTATTTTTAAGGGCTTCTTAATATTTCTTTATATTAGATGTACTGTTATTCGTTTAACCAGTTCTCTGTAACTGAAAACTTAGGTTTGTTTCCAGTTTTTTGTTTGGTAAATATGGTTGTGATGATATCTCCAAGCACTTGTCTGGTTATTTCATTCAGTTTACCTGCTGGACTGGAGTTGATGGTCTCAACCATCAACTAACCACCTTCCCACTAAAGGTAGTGGATTTTTCTTTGTTCTCCCTAGGGCAGAAGGCCAGCAGCCTTCAAGAGCGCTGGATTTATACACTCACCCTCCACTGCAGTATCCTTCTTTTTCTACATATATTTCTTCTCTGAGCTATATCCTTGCAACGTATTCTTCATAGAATTTTACTTCCTCAGCATTTATTCTTAGTGCAGTTTGGGAAGTGAAGCCAACATTGCAGTGGGCCTTCCTCCTTCTCTTGTCCTTGCCCAGGGCGGGTCTCCATGGGCAGCCAGGGGTCCTTTGAGGCTCCCTATCCTGATGGTCCTTTCCCTCCAGGCCCAGCAGGAGACACAGAAGGCAGCACTGCGGTATGAGCGGGCTGTGAGCATGCACAACGCTGCCCGGGAGATGGTGTTTGTGGCTGAGCAGGGCGTCATGGCTGACAAGAACCGGCTGGACCCCACGTGGCAGGAGATGCTCAACCACGCCACCTGCAAGGTGAGCCAGGCAGTGCCAGTAGGTCCCTCCTGCCAGTTCCTGTACTTCCTTTCCTTTCCCTGCATCCTGTCACCTTCCTTAATCCTTTCTCTCCTGCACTCCAGACTTCCCTCCGTTTTGATTCTGTTTCAGGCAAAATCTGGTCCTTGCTCTCTGCCCTGTTTGGCCTCCAGTGTATCCCATATACACTTCCTTCTGACTTAGAATGTCTTTCTGGGTTCTTCTTGAACCTTTGCCTCCAGATGTGGGACTAACCCAAATAGTTCATTCCTGCCGATTGCTCTGGATTCAACACTCTTTTGTTATGTTTAGCTGTGACCCCTTGCTTCTATTTGCTGAATGTTCTCCCTTTCTTGCTTTTGGGCTCTGCCAGTGTACCTTGGTTTTTGAAGTACGATTTGTGTATTATTTCCAAGCTACTCTATGGCTACCAGGGAGTGGGAGGACCCCTGGCATCAGCTCTAGTCTGCCACCTTCACCTTGTAAAGGGCAAGTGTCTTAGTCTATTAGGGCTGTTACAATAAAATAACAGACTGGGTGGTTTAAACAACAGATGTTTATTTTTCACAGTTCTGGAGGCTAGGAAGTTCAAGATCAAGGCATAGGCAGATTTGGTGTCTGCAGCGGGCCTGCTTCCTGGTTCCCAGATGGCCAGCTGTCTTTTCACTGTGTTCTCACATGGCCGAAGGGGCTAGGGAGCTCTCCAAGGCCTCTTTTATAAGGAAACTAATTCCATTTGTGAGAGCTCCCACCTCTTGACCTAATCATCTCTCAGAGGGCCCACCTTCAGGGTTAGGATTTCAACATAAGAATTTTGGGGGGGTAGAAACATTTAGTCTGTAGCAGTACGTGTCAGCTCCTGAGGAGTAATCATGTCTTGAGGTTCTTTGTGTGCTCCTTAGTCCAGGCCCATGGCCTCACGCAGAGCAGGAGCTCCACTTCCACTCTGGAACTCACACAGAGGAGAGCATGATACCGAGGGAGGGGTTGTTGAAACTGTGTGTAGGCGGGGTCAGCCCCTTGGTCCTGGTAGATGAGGTGGCTGGAGCCCTTGCCTGCTACCTGCTCAGGCACAGAAACCTGGAGAACTCAGTGCAGAGCTGTGGCTCCCCACAGTGAGGCTCCTCCCTTCCCCCAGCCCTAGCCCCCAGCACTGAGGGCTCTCTGAGGACCATGGCTGTGGCAGATGTGCTCACAGGTGGACATTCCCTACACGCTCACAAGTGGTCCAGAGGAACCCGGCACCTCTTGGTAGCAACGAACCTGAGAGGCGGTTGGTACAGGTAACAATAGGCAGGTACAAGGACTCACTGTTCTCTTTTGTGTCTTGGGAGCTCAATGCTCTCTCCAGGCTCTGCAGTGGGGGATCTCCCCCAGGGTAACATTTGGAGTGGCAGCCTGAGCAGGCTATAGGGGCAGGAGGGTGGGACCGAGTTCAGTGATGTGTGCCCTCCATCCCACCTGGGCCAGGTGAATGAGGCCGAGGAGGAGCGGCTTCGTGGTGAGCGGGAACACCAGCGGGTGACGCGGCTGTGCCAGCAGGCTGAGGCTCGGGTTCAGGCCCTGCAGAAGACCCTCCGGCGGGCCATTGGCAAGAGCCGCCCCTACTTCGAGCTCAAGGCCCAGTTCAGCCAGATCCTGGAGGTAGCTGAGTGGGAGAGGGGGAGGGTGAGTGGACGGAGGATGGGGGAGGGGGCAGGCATAGAAAGGGAGGGCAGGTAGAGGGGACACCAATCTGCTTTTCTGGGCCATCCACCAGGCCAGTGCAGAGGAACCAGTGTGCTCAGAATGACCCCGCAGGAGTGGGAGGTGGGGTTAGGAAGTGAGTGCTGGCAGAGAAGGGAGGTGAAGGAGAAAAGGTGAGAATTGGGGGAGACCGGGGAGAATGGGGCAAAGGAATCGGCCAGATAGGGAAAGGGAACAATGGGGAGAGGGGGAAGAGCGGGTGGGAATGAAGACCTGGGAGGAAGGCCCCGGAAGGTCAGGCAGGAGCAGGGAAGGTTGCTGGGGAAGGAGGACCCCAGGAGGAGGAGGAGTGGAGAGAGGCTGGGTGGAGCACTGCAGATTAGTGGTTGGTGGTGAGCAGAGCCGAGGGCCTGGGACGGGAGACCCCAGCGCAGAATGCTGAGGGGGCCTGACAGGACTTGGCAGCTCCAGGGGCCTCGGATAGTTGCCCAGAGGGTCACCTGACTCTGACCCTCCCTCTGCAGGAGCACAAGGCCAAGGTGACAGAGCTGGAGCAGCAGGTAGCCCAGGCCAAGACCCGCTACTCAGTCGCCCTGCGCAACCTGGAGCAGATCAGCGAGCAGATTCATGCGCGGCGCCGGGGCCAGCTCCCTCACCCCGCGGGCCAGCTGCGCTCTTCCCCAGTGGGGGCCGAGGCCGGGCCTGATGGTGGCGAGGATGGGGACAGCGGGATCATCGAGGGGGCCGAGGGCGGGGGGCTGGAGGAGGGTGTCAGCCTGGGGCCTGGCCCTGCCCCCGACACGGACACGCTGAGCCTGCTGAGCCTGCGCACTGTGGCTTCAGACCTGCAGAAGTGCGACTCCGTGGAGCACCTGCGGGGCCTCTCGGACCACGCCAGTCTGGATGGCCAGGAGCTGGGTCCCCGGAGTGGGGGTCGTAGCGGCCGCCACCAGCGCAGTATCAGCCTGTAGCCCTGTGCTCAGGGTGGCTGGTGCAGTCTTAACCACCACTGGCCCATGGAGGGCCCTGCAGGCTCCTAGCTCCCTCTCCTCGGGCCCTCGCTTCCCCCAGAGAGGTCAGGTTGGCTGTGTCTTGAGTCTGTCCTGTCTTCCTCACCCTGCCCTGCCCCCGACAGGTGGCAGCTCTCTTTGCCTTACCCTTTCAGAAGGCTTGTCTTTGGCTCTCACATCTCCCTTCCGCCTGCTGGCCCCTCACAGTCTGATACTGTTTGCTGCCCTCTTTTTGACTTCTTCCATCTGTCTGGTTTTTCCCCTCAGGGAAATTTGTCTAGAAGGCACAGGGACACCATCAGAGAAGGTGGGTGCTGGACCTGGGTCCTGGCATCTTGGCCCCCCCAAGCTTGAGTGAATGGACGGGTGCCCCTTCCACCTACCCATCTCCCGAGTGGTCCCGAGTGGCAGGGATGCTGCCGAGCCCTCCTAGCAGCCCAGCGCCCCAGTCCTCTGTCCCAGCCTGCCTGTGTGTAACATGTAAGATGCACTGTGGGACTGTGTGACTCTGGAAGACACCACCCATCCCTTTAGTGCTCCCTCCTCATGACCTAAGCCACTTTGCTATGTGTGCCTCAAAGCAGGACTTGAGGGATACTGGTGTCAGGGAAGGTGAAACCCAATCTCATCATTGATAAAGGGGGCACCACCAACTCCAAACAGACTCCCGTGTGTGTGGTGTTTCCCCAGCTTGGCTGGGTCCTTAACATTGCCAAGGTGCTAGTGAGTCCATGTTGGGGGATGGAGATGTAGTGAGGTCCTGATGGCTGAAGGCCTTGCCATTCCTGCTGTGGAGTTAGGTTAATTTACTTTTTCTGGGTAGAGGATGCTGAACCAAATCTCAGCATCCTCCTGCAGGGTAGAGTTGGGGAACTTGGTGCTCAATTGCTCTCCCTCGCTCTTCCCCAAACCAAACAGTACCTAGTCCATGATCCCTTGGGGGGTGCTCAGGTTTGGCTGCAGAGCCTCCACTGATATGGGGAAGGTTTGGCCTGGGGTGAGGGAACCCGCCCTCTATAGGGAGCTGCTTCAGGTGTCTGGTGGTACTCCTGTGCTGCGTGGGGCGGGGGAAAGGTAGGGAAGCCACACTGGATCTAGGTGCCTTGGGAGCACCAATCCTCCTGTCCCACCCCAGGAGGGCTGAGAGCTGGACTCTGGACAGGAGAACTTGTGCCTAGGCCTGTGTGCTGCTGCCGTTGACTGGGGGAGGAGCAGGCCTTCGAATAGAAGGTGTCTCCCTGTCCCAGGGTTGAGGCAGTTTGGTCATGATGAGAACTGCCAGGTTTGAGGTGGCCATGGGGGGAGGGAAGAAGGGGGAGGACGTGGGCGTGCGTGCGTGCATGCATGTGACTGTGTGTATGGGGGAAAAGGGTCTGCCCCTGATTTTATTTAAATAAAATAGTTTATGTAACAGTAATGTTTATTGTCCCTTTCAAGGAGGGAAGAGGAGAAAGGGGTGAGGATGGAGAGTGGGAAGGAACAGGGTGAAGCGGGATGCTCTTTTGATGGGGTAGTCAGAGGTCTCTTGGGAGGTGAAGGTTGAGATGGATCAAACCCAGGCAATGAGAGGAGGGAAGGCTTATGGCCACAGGGCTGGGGTGAACGCGCACCAAGTCGGTGGTGCCCTGCAACCCCCTACCCTTCCAGCTTCCCCACCAAGGAGGGCTCTGCAGGGTGGAGTGGGTGTTGTCAGCCACTGGTGGTGCAGACAAGATGATGGTGCCAATCCTGGATGTGAGCATGAAGAAAGGGGAGGGACAAGTGGCGTTGTGGGATTTAGCAAATATACAGGATGCCCAGCTAAACTTGAATTTCAGATAAACGATGTTTTTGGCCCCTGCAGTGTTAGGGACATACTTAGATACTAAGTTGTTTGTCATCTATCTGAAATTAAAATTTAACATAGATAAAAGGTGACTCCCAAGTCAGGGCTTGACCTGTTGGTGGGTCAGGAGGGGTTTGAATACATTTGGACCCACTGCCTGTGAAACATCTGGTGGAATCAGGTTGGGGAAGAGATGAGAACTTCAGGAGCTGAGGAAGTGGAGAGTGAAGGCTCTCGACCAAACCTCACCAGGGGTGCACCTATATTTATAGCCAGGTGAGGAGGGAGTCAGCTAAGGGATGGAGAAGGTGCTGCCAGGGAGGAGGAGGGGGAGACCCACTGGAAACCTGGTGGGAAAAGGGTGTCCTGAAGACCTTTAAGGGGCAAGGTGAAGGCCAGGAGTTGAAGGGACAGGAGGGCAGAAGAGTGACCCTGGTGACCTCAGGTGGTAGATGGGCCATTAGGAGCCTTTGTACCCTTTGACCAGACTGTCCAGGTGTGAGACTGCCTTTCCTGACCTGGCTTATTAATTGAGAAATAAGCAAAGTGTGATAAGGCACATGGGTGCCAAAATACTTCCTTTATCACTGGAAAAGCTGCTGTGACTGTATGTGTGGTCTGTGTCCTTGGGTAAGTGGCCTTTCTGAGATGATTCGCCAGGGTCATACTTCCCTACCCAGTCTGTGGCAGTGTGGAACCTGTAAGGCTCCTGGTGCAAAGGAACCCTAGAAAAGAAGGGCAGGCTGTGCCCACCCAGTTTCTCCATGCAGAATCACCTACCAGAAAAGGCAATAGTGGAGAGAGAACATGAGGGTTGGCGCTAATGGCTAACCATGGCAAATGTGCCCCCTAGCCCTATCGTAACAATAGTGGATTGCACTCACCCAGTGTATCTCACATGCCAGGCATATGCATTGATCCATTTAGTACCCATAACAATATTATGGGGTAGGTAGCACCACAGTTGCTTTTTTCCAGGTAAGAATACAGGCATAGTAGGGGTGCCCATTCTGCCCTTAGCCTTGTAGGAGATAATGGAGGCAGTTGGACTCTAGAGTCTAAACACTTCAGCCCTTGAGTGAAGCCCCTCACAGGAGCTAGAGGTGAGAAAGTAGAGGGAGTGTGTGTAGTCAGCTCTTAGGAAGTTTTACTGGGAAGGGGAGCTGAGAAATAACAGGATGGTCAAGGAATTTTAAAGTAAGCAAGAGATGGTCAAGTTATGGGGGATGTGGAGTCTCTTCTCCCCATGTCATATGTCCTAGTGGTAATGACTTCTTTTGAGCTATGTCCCCCTCAAGTGAGCAGCTGGGCCTCAGTCTCCCTGGCACCCAGCTCACGCCCAGCACCTAATAGATGCTCAGAAAACGCTTTTGCATCTCCCTTCTCCCTGCGCCGATCCAAATCTATACTAGATTATAGGTTGTCCCTGACCTATGATAGTTTGACTTGATGTTTTGACTTTACCATGATGAGAAAGCAGTACACATTCAGTAGAAACCATACTTCACATTTTGAATTTTGATCTTTTCCTTGGCTAGTGATATGAGGTACAATACTCTGATGCTGAGCAGCGACAGCAAGCTGTAGCTCCCAGTCAGCCACACGATCATGAGGGTAAACGACTGATGCACTTAGAACCATTCTATACTCATACAGCCATTCTGTTTTTCAGTTTTCAGTACAGTATTCAATAAACTATGAGATATTCAACACTTTATTATAAAACAAGCTTTGTGTTAGATGTTTTTGCCCAACAGTAGGTTAATGTAAGTGTTCTGAGCACATTTAAGGTAGTTTAGGCGAAGCTATGATGTTCAGTAGGTTAGGTGTATTAAGTGCATTTAAAAAAAATATTTATTTAGACGCGCTGGGTCTTAGTTGTGGCACACGGGATCTTTGTTGCGGCTTGCAGGATCTTTAGTTGCGGCATGTGAACTCTTAGTTGCAGCAGGTGGGATCTAGTTCTGTGACCAGGGATTGAACCCAGGCCCCCTGCATTGGGAGCACGGAGTTGTAGCCACTGGACCACCAGGGAAGTCCCCTAAGTGCATTTTTGACTTAGGGTATTTTCAACTTACAATGGGTTTGTCAGGATGTACCCCCATTGTAAATCTAGGAAGATCTGTACTTTGTTAGTACAGCAGTTAGGAGATAAGATCTGTATCCACAGTCCTAGGAACTCTATGTCTCCAAGTGGGGAGTTCCCAAGTTTCTCTATGCTTCAATTTTATGACCTGTATGATGAGAAAATCTACATGTGCATAGCACAATGCCAGGTTGATAGCCACAATGATGCATGTTAGCAGTTCTCTGAAGCTTCAGAAGGCAGTGAAGTTCATGAAAGGAGGCCTCGTCCCATCTTGTGCTAAACAAGGAGGCTGTTTATAAAGACCCCGCTGAGGGCTGGGTTTCCCTCTTTGGATATGATTTTGGAAGTCTTCCTGACTCTGCCTTGTGCGTGGAGGGGAGATGGGCTTCTAGTGCTGTCATGGTCCTGCTCTGTCGGCAGGGGGCAGCAACCACCAGAAAGCAGGCGAAGTGAGATCTGGGTCTCCAGCTCTGTGGGCTTTACTGTGTTAGTCCTGCAGGACTATGAGGTTCACCTCTTGGACACTGGGCAGCAGGGCCTGGGAGCATGGTGGGGTACGGGTTAGGGTCCATACTCCAGAGTTGAACCCTGTCTGTCCCGACACAGACAGGGGCTTCTTGCCTCCCTGCATGTCACTGGAACCATCAGCTGTGTGAAAGCTGGGCCAGGTCTGCTGGGGCTGGTGTCATTTGAGACCAGACGTTCTGTGCCAGTGGTGTGCCCTGTCTCTTCAGAGCTCACTTCTTTATTGTCCTCGCTAGTATCCTATCCCTTTCCCTTCCTCACCCTCCTTCCATTTTCCCCTCTTGGGAAATCCCACTGGCTTCTCCCTACCACCACTCCTGAGCCCCAGACTACCACCCTGTGCCATAGCCTGAACGAAGGACACCAGGGGACCATTTCACTGGCTGGCGAAAATATGTGTGGTTTATTAAGAAATATTTACCAGGATCTTTCAGATTGCAAAACACCGTGGTAGGGCTTGCTAGGAAGACCAGAAAATATAATACCGTGGGTGGGACATCCAGGTAAGGAGCACGGGGGTGCACATAGCTAATGGGTGATGCAGGACAGTAAAAAAATAGATAACTAAAGAGGGATGCAATCAAGAGGGCTCTGGGAGGTTATTTGAGCTGGGGATACTCTCTGAAGCTCTGAACCAGCCCCTGGCCTTAAGCTAGAGAGGTGGTAGCAGGAATCCCAGTTCCTCTCCTGCCCCCGCCCCCCGTGACCCCCACCTCCAAGTCCTCCTGTCCCCATGCTTCACTTTTCTGAAATCTGGCATGAGTTCTAGCCAAAGCCTGTGTCTGCCCGATCTTGGTGTTCTCAGGGCCTGGCATGTGGCACTCTCCACCAAACATCTGCCCACAGACTTGCTTTCACTTGTGCTACTCTTGACACAAGTTTCCCCCCTGCTTAACCTGTTAGACTTCTGCCTGTGGCTTGAGGCCCAGCTCATGTGGAATTTTGACCAAAGGCCTTTCTGGTTCCCCAGCTCTCCAGCCAGGTCTGAATTAATCCCACCACCCAAGTTCCCCAAGGCTCATTTGACTTATTGTGGGGCTGGCCCAATGTCACCCTTGGGGTCTTCCCTGACTCCATCTTACTCAGCACCTAACATGGTACAATAGACATTGTGACTATATGTCACTTAATACAGTGACTCTATGTCATGTATGCATGTATGGTCTAAAGTGGGACACTTGAGGGAATTCCCTGGTTGTCCAGTGGTTAGGACTCCGAGCTTCCACTGCAGGGGGTATAGGTTTGATCCTTGGTTGGGGAACTAAGATCTTGCATGCTGCGCGGCCAAAAAAAAAAAGGTACACTTGAGTGTGAAAGGGGACAGATGTAACTCAGGACTGAAACGCACTGACCACACTATCCAGAGGGCTGTCATTGACCTGCCTCTGCCACAAGGGGGTTGTGTGCACATTGGATGAGCCACTCAGCTCCTCTGGGCTTTGGTGTTCCAGTCTGCAAGAAGTGGGGCTGAACTGGGTAGATAACCTCTGAATGTTATCTAAAACACTAAAATTATATGGCCGGTGGAGGAGGTTGGGGCCTGTCAGGTGTTTTGGTGGAGAATGTGAGATAGTGGATGTGTTTGGGGTCAGAGCATGAGCACACCAAGGCTAGGGTTGATTAGGGCCCAGCCCAAAGGCAGTGGAGGGCTGCTGGACATTACTGCTTTGGGCATGAGGTGATGACTGTCCACTGTGGTCAAGGAATTTGGAATGCTGGGCAGTGGTTTCTCCCTCCTGATGGCAGGCAGGTGGTGGTCACGACACAGCAGGGATATACCAGCTTATTCATCAGCATAGCTGGGAAGAGGTGGTGGCAAAAAGTTTCTTTCCCATTTAGGACAGAGGAACATTTTGATCTAGGCTGGAATGAAGATCAGAGCCATGGAGTTTGGCAAAAGAAGACAAACCCTTCCTTAGTTGCTGCTTCATCTCACATGCCTTGTGTGCCACCATGTTCCTTTTCCCCTCTCCT